TACTTGTCATGGAATGTCTGTGAACCTCAGTGTTCTCATTATTGAAATGGGAAAAATAGTGTCATCCAGGAAGCATTGTTATGAAAATAAAATGTAATTGTAGTGGTGAAGGCTCTTGATAAATTATTTAGTGAAATACAGATATAAATATTCATTGTTACATCGGGAAGGAACCAGACAGTTTGGGGAGACTTACAAAGTTAAAAGGAATTAACTAGTTAATTAAACCTTGACCTTGGCCTTCCGTGTTCATCCTGTTCTTGCTGGGCCTGCACAGCCCAATGTTAGCAAGAATCCTGCTAAGTCATTTTACCAAGAATCCCCCCGCTTTTGATGTCTGATTGTTCTTGCTATCTGATCAAGTTCTTCATCCCAACTATTAATATCCTTGACCTCCCTTTAGCAAGACTTCTGTTAAGCTGGTTTAGCAGGTATCACCTAACCCTTGATGTCTCTTCTGAGTAACTTCCTATCCACTGACCCCCTTGCCCTGCTCCCTGGCTATAAACCTCTATTTGTCTCTCTCTTTTTTTTTTTTTTTGAGACAGAGCCTCAAGCTGTCCCCCTGGGTAGAGTGCCGTGGCATTACAGCTCACAGCAACCTCCAACTCCCGGGCTCAAGCGAGTCTCCTGCCTCCGCCTCCCAAGTAGCTGGGACCACAGGCGCCCGCCACAACGCCCGGCTATTTTTTGGTTGCAGCCGTCATTGTTGTTTGGCGGGTCCAGGCTGGGGATTCGAACCCGCCACCTTAGGTGTACGTGGCTGGCGCCTTAGCCGGTTGAGCTATAGGCGCCGAGCCTATTTGTCTCTCTTATATTTGGAATTGAGCCCAGTCTCTCTCTCCTACCAATGGCAATGGGAATATCAGTTTCCTTCCCTCCCTTCTTCTCTCCTTTTCTTTCTTCTTTTGAGATAAGGTCTCACTCTATGGCTCAGGTTGGAGTGAAGTGGTGCAATCATAGCTTACTTTAGCCTCAAATTCCTGGGTTCAAACAATCCTCCTGCCTCTGCCTCCCAAGTACTGTAAGCACATGCTAGTATGCCTGGCTAATTTTTGTAGAGATGGGGATTTCTGGCTATGTTGCCCAGGCTGGTCGTGAACTCCTGGCCTCCCTCCTAAGCCCCCCAAACTGGGATTACAGGTATGAGCCACTGAACCTGGCCAACAGTATTTTTTTATGAGTATTATGTCCTTTCAAAAAATTAATATTCTAAAAACGTCTGCTGGAAGGCAGACACTGTGCTAGATCATTTTACATGGGCCATTTTATTTAATCCTGCCTTTCAAAGAAGTCCTTATTCTATCTAATACACAGATAAAGCATTGAAGTCCAATGTGTTTTAAAGAAACTTGCCCTGCCTTATCGCAAGTTCTTTCCTCCACACCTCTCTAAATACCCTTTGACAAGGAAATCATTATTGTTCCTTTTTTGTTCTTTTAAAAAATTGTGGTGAAAATTTACAGTTGTAACTATTTCACATTATTTCTTGACTGGTTTCTTCAAACTCAAGCAAATGTGCTAAAAAAGAATGAAATGATCTTAATTTATCATACTTAGTTTCTGTCCCTTCTTGACAAGCAATGAAATGAATACCTGATAATGTGAAGGGAAGCCTCACTCTCTGGAAAGCTCCATGATGCTTGCTTGCATTGATGTGGAAGCAGCAGTATGGACTTTTGCCCAGCACAGGGACATTTCATAGCCCTCTCATGAAAGCACTTTTATTAACTTTTGATCTGGACAAGGGAGGTGTCTCTTTTGTGAGAGTTTCCTGTAGCCAAAAAATTGTTTGACTCATCTGGAAAGGAGACAACAACCATTAAGAAAACTCCTTGAATCCTATAGGCATGATAAGTTTCATAATTGGATACCCAAATTATGTTCCCAAACCAAAATCAGAATAGTTACTTCCTTGTAATCTAGCTAGGTTTCTAAATAGATCAATGTCAGATTTACTTTACTTTGAATAAATAGATCTTGTTTTTTTCTTAAGACAGAGTCTCACTTTGTCACCCTCCATAGAGTGCTATGGCGTCATAGCTCACTGCAACCTCAAACTCCTAGGCTCAAGCAATCCTCGTGCCTCAGCCTCCCAAGTAGCTGGGACTACAGGCACCTGCCAGAATGCCTGGCTATTGTTTAAGAGATGGGGTTTTGCACTTGCTCAGGTTGGTCTTGAACCTGTGAGCTCAGGTAATCCACCCACCTTGGCCTCTCAGTGCTAGGATTATAGGTGTGAGCCACCATGCCCTGCAGAATAAATGTATCTTTAAAAATAGTTTACATGCTTTTCCTCCAGAAGAAAAAAAATGCAGATTCATATTTGTTACCTTATAAGACAGCCATATTCTCCTTTTCATAAGTAATGTTTACAGAAAAAGCGCAATCTAGCATTGTTTTTAGAACTGCCAGAGAGTTTGTTTTCTTTTTCTTTTTTCTTTTTTGTTGCAGTTTGGCCGGGGCCAGGTTTGAACCCACCACCCTTGGTATATGGGGCCAGCGTGTGTATATGAGCCACAGGCACCACCCCAGAGAGTTTGTTTGATTTGGGGCTGTGGGTGAAACAACGAAACATTGTTTAGATGGTTGCATAGCTTGTAAAGCCTCTGAGGAGGTCTTCTAGTTCATTCTAAAGGGCAAATGCAACATTTATCATGGTTCCTTTCACATATTATACAGTTACTAAATTAGCAGCTAGAATTCAGTCAATTGTGGGTTTGCGTATCTCACTTTTGCTGGAAGCAAAAAGAGAAAGGGAAAAAGGGAATGAAAAGAAATACATCAGAGAGACTTACCTTTTTGTGTTTTATTTTTTTCACTGTTTAAGGAATTTTTATTAAAGGAAGAATTTTACAATCCAAATTACATTTCCTTGCTCAATTATCAATTCTGTTACTTAAAACAGAACTGACCCTTTTGGCCACAGACACAATCTTCCAGTAATTCACCAAAACGACAAACACAAAGGGAAAGAGGAGAGGCACTCGATACATATTCTCTAGGCCTTTTAGAAAACATGGAGTTGTTCCTTTGGCCACATATATGCGAATCTACAAGAAAGGTGATATTGTAGACATCAAGGGAACGGGTACTGTTCAAAAAGGCATGCCACACAAATGTTACCATGGCAAAACTGGAAGAGTCTACAATGTTACCCCGCATGCTGTTGGCACTGTTGTAAACAAACAAATTAAGGGCAAGATTCTTGCCAAGAGGATTAACGTTCATATTGAGCATATTAAGCACTCTAAGAGCCGAGATAGCTTCTTGAAATGCATGAAGGAAAGTAATCAGAAAAAGAAGGAAGCCAAGGAGAAAAGTACCTGGGTTCAACTGAAGCGCCAGCCTGCTCCACCCGGAGAAGCACACTCTGTGAGAACCAAAGGAAAGGAGCCTGAGCTCCTGGAACCCACTCCCTGTGAATTCACGGCATAACAGGCGTACAGCATAGCACACGGGAGAACCAAGCATAAAGTGAGCCGAAGCATAAAGAGCTGGAACCTATTTCCCATGAATTCATGGCATAAGCAGTGTACAGCATAGCACACAGCATAGTAACCCAAGAAAACTAGTCGACAGTAATATAAGGTGCTAGAACCTATTTCCCATGAATTCATGACATAATGGTCATACAAAACTTTGTCACATTCAATGGCAAGGCGCCTCCCCACTAGAACCATTTCCTTATGAGTTCATGGCATAATAGGTATTAAAAATAAAAGGCTACTGTAAAAATGTTTCTCTTCATTGATTAAAAGGGTGGTATTCCCTTCCTCAAAGAAGTATTAAATGCAAATTTTACTAGTGTCCTAAAACAAACAAACAACAACAATAAAAAAAAAACTCCAAAATCCTAGAACTGACATTCTGAGCTATTCCTCAGTAAAGAATTACAAAATAAAAGAAAGGCATGCTTTAAATTTTTTTTTTTTTGAGACAGAGTCTCACTATGTTGCCCTTGGTAGAGTGCTGTGGTGTCATAACTCACAGCAACCTCAAAGTCTTGGGCTTAAGCGATTCCCTTGCCTCAGCCTCCCAAGTAGCTGGGACTACAGGCACCTGCCACAATGCCCGGCTATTTTTGTTGTTGTTGCAGTTGTCATTGTTCAGCAAGCCCAGGCCAGATTTGAACCTGCCAGCCCCAGTATATGTGGCCGGCCTTCTAATCACTGAGCTATGGGCACAGAGCCAATGCTTTAAATTTTTTCTTTTTTAAATTTGAGACAGAGTCTCACTATGTTACCCTTGGTAGAGTGCTGTGGTGTCACAGCTCACAGCAACCTCAAACTCTAGGGCTTA